CTAGAAAAGCGCTATACAAATACAGGCCATTTACAGGCCATTTAAACTAATTTCTTCGAGTCAAAGACTGTTGCATAATTAAATTTTTGCTTGATGCAATTTGCATAAAGTTAAAAGATTAAAACCAATAAAACATTTTTTAAAAATAGACTTTTTCATTTGATTCAATTGTATATGATGGATTATGCAGAAAAAAATGGGATTGGGCTGAAAGGTCTGTTGCTTTATTACGTATTCAGGTTGTGTATCATGTTTTTAAAAAGTGACTCAGTAATAAGTAAGTAATTACTTTTAAAAATAACCAATCAGTAAAGTAATGGCATTACTTTCTTGGAGAAATAATCAGTAATTAGTAACTAAATACTATTTTCAAGTAACTTGACCAACACCGTTCTCCACAGTGAAAATGCAAACGTAAAACAGATTTTACCTTTTTTATGTAACTGTGGGAAAAAGAATAAGATCACATATACCAAAATGTCTAAAATCATTTTTTTAACACTGAGTATATTTTGCATGGTTTTGTAAAGTCTGGATCTCAGTAAAAATAATGATCTGATAGCGTTGGAACAGCTATATTACTACATTAAAAACATTACAGGTTACTTGCTCTTCTGTGAGGTGAAATCTAACAGATAGGTTTTTCAGTGTTCTACAAGGTTTTCCAACTGGAACTTAAATTTCATTTTCAAGAAGTGAACAAACATTAAATGTTAGAAAATATTTACCTCCCAAAGTTCAAAAAAGCAGCATTTCTGCAAGCAAGACCTAATCTTGATGTATAGTATTATCTTTTAACCCAATCTCTTAATGTAACACTACATTAACACTACTCATAGTTCCTTTCTTCTCTCTTTCTCCTCTTACCACCATCACCACCTACACACACACACAGCCAAGAGTGTTTGCGGACTCTGATAAGCAGTCTATTGATTGGACTTAGGTAAGACAGTATATGCTGGTGAGAGTGTCAGACAAGCAGAGGAGAAGGCACAGCTCTATCAAGGCTACTTGTCTGTGGAATCATGATTGGGGAAGACAGAGCAGAGATACACAGACCCACACACAGACGGGCATGCACTGTGATACTTGAAATCAAATGAGTTGTTTTTGTTTTGATATCTGAAAGGCCTACATTGGGTTCTCATCTCCCCCCATCCCTCATCTCATCCTAAATAAGGCTCATGGCCTGTCTGGTATGCTTCTGCTGCTGGTTTGCTTTGAAAGCAATGCTGAAGAGTTCAGAGTAAACTGAAGCTTGTAACCTCTGTCACCAAAGGGCAATACTATTCAGTGTTTTTAGTAAATGCCTGAATCCTTTTTTAAATCTTTGCCATGCAGAGGCTGGTTCTGATGCTTTCCTGAAGATAGGGACCTAAACCTATCAAGTGAGAGACAGACATAAAAAAGCATCTAGAAAACCTGTGTATAATTAAAAAGAAAGTTGTGTGTGCAAAATACTATGCTAACATTTATATCGCCAAAGTGATTTAAAGTGTAATAAAACTGTTTTTCAAACAGCATACAGGAACTAATTGTCTTCAATCACTCTGGAGTGAAAATAATCCAGTAATTCCAAGTAAGCTTGCCAATGGCATTGCAAACCTGAGCCATAAAAAATACTACCCAATGCCAAACAGAACTAATTAAATGTTGTTTATTGTTGCTGCCAGCAAGCCCACAGATAAACATATTAAGGTGAAAAGAAAAACACATCACCTGGGGAGGTCTTTATTTGTGCTGCCCTATTGCAAACCTGCAATCCAAAGTGAGGAAAGGGCATTATTCTTTCTGCCCTCATTTTATTTTGCAAAATCTTTGAAAGGTGCCTTTACCTCTTTTAAACTCTCAAACTCTTAGGATTGCAAACAAGCAAACTATATGTGGGCTAGAAAAGAGCAGCATTTCAACATCTTGTCTGAAAATTGTGTGGCGTCAAAGTGCCCAAATGCTTTCAATATATACAACCTTTTAACACTTTTAGCACACTATGTATCAAGTACATTAAAACTGGCTAGCACTACAGCATGCTCTCACTATTTCTGGACATCAACAGGCTCTCTAAGGCTCTCTATTTTCTGTGCTTAATTTTTCTCAGTATTTTTCTTACCATTCACTTTGGTCTCAGTCTCATCATTAACCATCTCCCTTTTTCAAAAGGTTGGCCAGCCCTCATCCTCCCCTCACTTGTCTTGTCTCATCTCTCACTGACCCCCTGTCTTATCCTCATCTAGTCTCTTTCCATCATTAAGAGGCACACTGTGTCTCCCTAGCAAAACTGTTAGCTCTGCCAAGGTAAGGCAATTAAAGCAACAACAAATTGGACAGACTGGGACGAACAGCACTGGAAATTGAGAGAGGGCTTGCAGCGGTGGTAACACAATGTGCTAATCATATGCAAACATAGTGCAACTGATGTTTCACTGTCTCATTACAAAACATCGAAAATACCTTTGACCAAACTACCCAATAAGAAATGAAGTGCTCCAGTATCTCTTATAAATCTGCCACCTATAAACAGCCATTACATATTATAGTAACAGTCAGGCCACCTCTATTTTAAGCAGAGACATTTTGAGTAGTAGCCATTTTTTGGCTCATTCTTTCTGATCTATTAAGGTTTCTCTCTTTACTGCAAAAGCCTGAATAACCTGACGGAAACATTTCTACTCTATTGTTAGCATGCCATTGAAATATTTGTGCGTGCAAAGCTATTTCTCTGTGGTAGATGTGCCCAAATCTTTGTCTTAATAAACTGCCTCTCATTTCTGAACTTGAATATGCTTAACTATTACATTATCACACTTGGTTACACACACACACACACACACAATACACTGTGCCCTTTTAAACCAAACACATCCTAAGGAGACAGGGAGGTCAGCAGGTAACAAATGCTAGATTAAAGCATGTATGCTTGGGCTATGGACACATAAATCAATATTGTGTGTGTGTGTTTGTGGATAAATGTAGGTGTGCCTCTGTGTATTTGCTAGGTTTGCCATTTCCCCCCTTTTTTAAAAGAACACATTCGCACGTGCGTGCATGTGTGTGTCTTTTTGTGTGCACAAAAGTGTAAGAGTGTGCATGCAGGTGTGTAGGGCTCCTAGATGTATGCATTCTAGCTGTGTGACAGAGCATATTATGATGAACAACTCGCCCAAGTGACTGATTGTGTCTTGCCACTGCCATAAATCACACACCCACTGCCCCCTTCAACCACCTCTAAACACACAAAACACACACACACACACACACACACAAACTGAGACCCAAGAAGCCACATACAAACAGAACTTTTGTAGCATCCTACATCCCACCCTCGTCCCGGTCTTTCCATTCCACTTCTCATCCACATATACACACGCACTCATGTACACACTCTCTCACACAGACCTACAATTTTCTGTCTGACACGCTCTGCAAGCAAGGTTCAAGCATAGGGTTCAGCTTTTGACAGAGGCAAGAGCGATATGAGAACCCCGATAGCAGAGAGCACCAGTACACTGTTCCCTGTATACCCATGTGCGCCATTGTGCTTTCATATGAGAGGAGATAATAATGTTTGTGTATGTGTATATGTTTGTGTGAGCATTATTCTTCTTTCTGCGACTTACCAATGTGTTTGCCCTTCATGTGATAGTAGAAGGAGACGCAGTATGGGACTCTTCCTTTGGGGCCCTTGCTTGAGGTAATATTAAAAAGTGGCGATAGAAGAAGAGCCTTGTCACCCTGAGTACGTGGGCGTGATGCTTCAATGTACATGTAGTAGCCTAGAGTAAACAAAAAAGATAAAGAGTAGAAATATTAATAATAATAATAAAAGGCTAATAAAGCCCTCTAATGTAAATTATAGACTGTAGGTATTGGGATAACAACACATTTTTGGGAGGTTTGTGGTAACATAATGGGTCATAAGCTACTGCCAAGTTTCTGCTTTATTTTCTATGTGATAAAAATGTCTTAACACATTTAATCACATGTTCCACAAGTAAATTAGACAAACTGAGGAAAAACAATCTAATTTTTTTCTTGGTCTTCCAAGTTGTTTGACATTTCATACACCTCCTCAAGTCCTAATGTTAACTTCAAACTCTAAATCAGCTTTGAGAGTTGAACATTTTAATGCATGAAATGATGTCAGAATAAAATATCTTCCACAGCAGTCCTTTATACAGGGAGTGCA